CTTGGCTGGCTCCAAGGCGGAACTAGCATGGTGGAAGGGTCTGGTGGAGGAAAGCTGTTCCACTCATGACATCCAGATATCAGAGAGAGTGGAATGAGCTGGGAACAAGAATACACCCATCCAGGTTACACCCTTAGTGATCCACATCCTACAATCAGATCTCACTTATAACAGTACATTTAGCTATGAACTCATCAGTGGATTAATCCACTGATGAATACAACGTTCCTACAATCCAGTGACATTCCAAACATATGGATCTAATAACAAGATTCCAACCCAAAAGGTTCATGTCTATTTCATTATGCAAAATGCATTCAGTCCATCTCCAAGAGTTGTCTCAACAGTTTCAGCATTGCTCAAAAGTCCAAAGTTCAAAGTCACTCTGAGACTCAAAGTAAGCTCTTAGCTTTGAGCTCCTGCAAAAATCGAAAAGAAAGTTAAATAAATACTTTCAACATGTAATTCCAAAGGGTAACTATTCCTATTCCAAAAGGGAAGAATGTAGCATAGAAAAGAACTGAACTAAAGCAAGACTGAAACTCAGCAGGGCAAATGTTAAATCCTGTTGCTCCATATGTATCATCTGGGGCATGTGATTGTGAGGGATAAGCTCCGAAGGGTTCAGCGGCCTGGCCCCTATGACCGTGCTGGTTGCAGCCCACATGGTTTCTCTCTTGGGCTCTTTCTTTTTACTCTCTGTGGCTTTTCTCAGATGTTCCACATTTCTGGCATTTCCAACTCCCTTGGGTTTCCACTATAGCTATCGCTCTTGGCTTCATGCATCACTCCTGGCAGAGATTTTGCCCTTATTATACACATTGCCTGCTATCCCAGTCCTTCCTCTGAAATCTTAGTGGAAGTCTTCATGACACCATAACGCTTGCATTCTGCATGCCTATAAAAATTGTGTTCCATGTGGATGATACCTAAATTAGCCATCAGCTCAAGCAGTAGCCAGACTCCCTTGGACCATGGCTACCACAGCTTCTGGTTTCTGAATGGCTGAATTTGTGCGAGAGAATTCCCTAGCTAGCCCTGAGTGAACAGGGTGCCCTGGGTCTCTCTTCTCAAAGCTTCTTTTTAATGAAGCTAATCTGTTCAGCAACCACACCTTCAGGGGCTCCAACTTCACAGGTACTTCCTTTCTGGATAAGCTGAAAAGGTTTCAAATCATTCAGGTCTAATATTTGATCCTGATTCTCACTTTAGAACTTAAAGCAACCAAGGATACCTTTGCCACTGTCTGCATGTTGGGCTGCCTTAAAATCTCCTCCACCCAATTAATTAGACCACCACATTTTATAAATTATTTTTCTTTATTAATTTTATTGGTACATTTTAGATATACATAATGATCACATCCATCGTAGGGAATTTGTACCAGTACATGATATATCTTAATTTTTTCCCCCATTCCCCTGCCCTCCTTTTTTTTGGGGTGGGGGTACTGGAGATCGAACTCAGGTCCTTGCGATTGCACAGCAGGCAGTGAAACCACTGAGCTAAATAAATCCCTGGCCCCCCCTACCCTCCTTTTAACCTTTCCCTCTCTCCTTATTTACAAAAGTTTCATTTCCATATTTCTGTCTTTTCTCATTTTATTATTTTCCCTTTCTTCTCCCCCAACCCTCCCTAGTTCCCCTTCCTATTTGAGCATTTTCTTCCTGTTTCATAATACCTAATATATATTTTGGTTCTTATTTACACATTTAGTTTCTAACACCAGAGAAACAATGTGATATTTACACATGTGTGTTTGATTTATTTCACTTAAGAGTATGGCCTCAAGATGCATCTATTTACCTAGAAATGTCTCAAGTTTATCCTTCTTTATGGCTGAGTAGTATTCCATTGTATAAAAACCCATATCTTCTTTATCCATTTATCAGTTGATGGGCATTTGGATTGTTTCCAAGATATAGCTATTACAAACTGTGTGGTATAAACATGGGAGGGCATATATTGCAGTGATATGATGCTTTTAATCCTTTTGGGATGATACCAAGAAGGGGAATAGCTAGGTTGAATGGAACCTCTCGTTTTAGGAATTGCTACACAGCTTTCCACAGTGCTGCACCAGTTTACAGTCCCACCAACAGTGGAGAAGGGTTCCTTCCCCCGCCCCCAGCCCCTCCAGCATTTGTTATTGGTTGATTTCTTGATAATTGATATTCTTTCTGGAGATGGAATCTCAGCATTGTTTTAATTTGCATCTCTCGGATAACCAGTGATGTTGAACATTTTTTCATATATTTATTTACCATTTTTACCTCTGAAAAAACTATAGTACTCTGAAAAAGGACATCAAAGAGGATATCAGAAAATGGAAAGATATCCTTTGCTTGTGAGTAGGAAGAACCAACATAGTAAAAATGGTCATACTCCCAAAATTGTTATACAGATTTAATACAGTCCCAATCAAAATACCAATTGCATACCCCACAGAATTAGAGAAAACAATCCTAAGATTCATTTGAAACCAGGAAAGGTCTAGAATAGCAAAAACAATTCTGGACAACAAAGGCAAGGCAGGGGGCGTCACAATCTCTTACTGGAAATTATATTGCAAAAGTACTATAATAAAAACAGCATAATACTGGAAAAAAAATCCAGATCAGTGGAACAGATCAGAAGATGCAAAAACAACTCCAAACACACTCAGCTACCTTATCTTCAACAAAGGGGCTAAATACCTACACTGGAAGAAAGATAACCTCTTTAATAAATGATGCTGGAAAAGTATGGGTTTATTTTACAGAAAAAATTGTATTTACACACTTGAATGTTTGTATATAGAGTCAATTATTGATTAACTAGTTTAAGGAGGAGGTTATAGATAACTTTGTGATGGCATATCCCTAATTCAAAAATTCAGAATCCAAAACATTTTAGTTTGATACTAAAAATGTTTCAGATTTTGGAGCATTTTGGATTTCAGATTTCCAGACTAGGGATAATCAATGAGTTAATTCTCTGAAAATATTAAAAAATTTGTAAAACTTTGAATTATGAAATACTTGTGGTCCTAAGCATTTTAGAGAAGGGATATTTAACCTTTTGTAAAAAATATTGTGATAGGTTTAATGTACACTTATTGTTTAAATTGCATTTGATTTTTAGAAGGTCTTTTACAGCTCTATAGATACTCAAAATCAGTTTGATGTGAACTAATTGTGAAAATGATATCTGGTACACAGGTACCCTTTACTGTTGGATGGGCATAGTCGAGAAGTCTATAAAATAATATGAGAGTGATTTGAAGGCCTTAAACATGACATTAATTGCTGATATTAATGAGCCATTACTACGTCTTAAACAGTGCATTATTTCTTCTTTTCATAGATGAATACTTTTTCCAAGCATTAGGGTAATGTATGGTGGGAATATTTGTAGCCCCAGGTCCTGATTCCCTTTTCCTTCTGTACTTACTTGTTTTCTCCCCTTCCTTTCCTAACACAGGAGTCAGGAAACCACAGGTGTGCATATTCAAGTTGTCCTTATCTGGACAACTGGCCATGGCTTCACTTTCAAGGGGAGCTGCTGGTAGAGGAGAAGGGAATTGGAGGAGACTGTCATTGACTTGGCATGGCCTGTTCTAGTTCTCTACATATTTCTACATGTACATACTTTCTAACATATGGTTTCTTCATTGGTATTTTTAAATAAGTGGGCCATTATTTAAACTATGTTTAGTCTGAAATTTGATTCATTTTTTATTAGATAATAAAGATTTGCTTAACCAAGAATGTTACTGAATGTTCTATATGCAAACCACTCAGGGTAAATATGGCTACAGGTAAAAGTTGTTAATTGATTGTATGAAGACAATATATAGAATATTAAGAACCTTGGACTTTATAAGATTTTAATGAAAAACATTGATGTATCGATAGCTTTCAAACTCCTATCTGGTGCTGAGCGCCTTTTTGTACTGTTGTGATGATCATCACTGAGCTGTTGATGGATCCTAGCTCAGGATTAGTTGTGGTGGTGCTGACATGCCAGATTAATTGATTGACTGATTAGTACTGGGAATTGAAACCAAGGCCTTTGCACTGAGATACATCCCCAACTGTTTAAATTTTAATACATGGGTTCCCTAAGTTGCCCAGGCTATGCTGAAACTTGCTATTCTCCTACCTCAGCCTCCCAGAGTGCTGGGATTGCAAGTATGTGCCAGCATACCTGGCCAACATGCCAGATTTTATACCATGACATTCTATATCTTAAAACAAGCTGGCTTTCACATATCTGGGAACTAAATTTGAAGTTTGGGCTAACATAAAAACAGATAATGGACAAAGGAAAAACCTAACATCAATTTGGACACCCATCAAGTCCTGGGGTACAAACAGTAATGTTCTTACACCGAATCTGTGAGGCCAGGCTTGTCATCATTCTTTACAGGATGTAACTCTGGTTTTTAGTGTTAGGGTAAAGGCTTTGGGGAAATATGGTGAATAGTTGAGAGAGCCCAGATTTCAATCTGTCTAGCCCATCTCATTCCTGCACCTCTCAAAAGGTTAGTGGGATGATTCTTCATACATACTTCTATAAAGACATGCTGACTGAAATCACTAGTGAGTATTTGTTGCAAGGGTTCTTTGCCAATCATATGTCAAAATTTCAGGTGAATCTCAATTCACAAATCTAGGTAACTTGCAACAATAAGTATTCTTTTTTCATCTGACACCCTAAGCATTTTATATTTTCCTTCAGCCATATGGTAGAGTAATTTATCTGTCCTTGACATATCTGCTTAATTAGACTGTGGACTTCTCCATGGCAGGAATTTCCCCTCCTCTTTCTGATCTCTCTGAAGCCTAGCCCATGGTATAGGGCCTTTCTCTTAAAAAGATTTATTTGCAGAATTGAACTCTACAAGATTAATTTTCATCTGTTTTTGGTGGAGATGGGTTACAATTCACTATCTGTGGCATTCTCTTTTGGTGAACTGAGAATTTTTGTTTTGTTTTGTTTTGACTTCATTTTAACAGATTTAAAGAAAGCCTCCAGTTCAAATGCTGCAAAATCTAATCTACCCAAATCTGGGCTTCGTCCTCCTGGATACTCACGTCTTCCGGCTGCCAAGCTGGCGGCATTTGGCTTTGTCCGGAGCTCCAGTGTCTCCTCGGTTTCCAGCACTCAATCTGTGGACAGTGCACAGCCAGAGCAGAACCGGCCGGTCACCCGTGAGTGGGGCCAGAGGGGCGAGTGGGGTGGGCACACACCTGAGCATTCTCCAGCAGGCCTGACTCTGTGCTGAGGACCGGTCAGTATTTCTGGGTCCCTGTGCGTTGGTTTCTTTGCCTGATTAAGACTACAGATAGACTCTTTTAATCTGTCCTTGTTATTATTGTTACTGCTTTTTAATCCTCCACTTAAGGAAAGTGGCCAATTTGACCCTCTTCTTTTCTTAGTCATAGGGGATTAATGTGCTAGGAAATGATTATAACAGTCTTAAAATCTAGAAAATGATTTACTTCGGAGACTGATTCCAGAAGCCCTTTATTTCATGGGTTCTAGGTAAGAAGTGAAAGATCCATGTGCTATCATGAAACATATTAGGTATTAAGTATTCCTTGAATGAATCATTTAGTGATCTTTGTTTCCCCACAATGACTTCACGTTGATGCAGCACTCAACTAGATTTCTAAAAGTTATCTAAATGGTGTTAATATGGATAAGCATGGCGGAGCAACTTTAAATCCATGGCAGCTAGGTCTCCATAGCTGAGACAAAATCACTCTAGGTCTTGTTTCCTGAGACATGTTGTAGGCTGTATTTTAGGGTGTACATTGCTAGCCCACTAAGCAAGTCATAATAGCCATGGTTCCTAAAGGTCTGGAGATTGATTATTTGACTGAGCTTACGAACCTCATCTTAGCCTCATCAAATTCAAAGTTATTTTTATGCAACTGAAGCCATGACTCTCAGATGTTGGTGATCAACAACTGGAGAGATGGGAAAAGCTCAGATGTTTTTTGTTTTGTTTTGTTTTGGTACTGGGGATCAAACTCGGGACCTTGAGCTTGTGAGGCAGGTGGCAAAACCACTGAGCTAAATCCCTGGCCCTAGCTCAGAGGTTTTTATGTGGAGAGCTGCTTTAAAGGAATTATAGAAATTGAATTGATCTGAAGTAATGGGGGAGAAAGGGAAGAGGGAAGAGAGAAAAGAGACAGAAAATACTTTTTTTTTCAATTATACTTCTCCAAGTTTGTTCATTATCTGGCCTTTTTTGGGATTAGAGACATGATGTGTAAAGCTTTCGTACCTTTATAGTTCTAAATTTTGGTCTACCTAGTTATTCCAGAATGCCATATGTTACATTTTCCTTTACCTTGATGTGGTTTTAAGTGGCTTCTAAGGGGATTTTCTTTGCTCTCTTGGTTTTCTGAAGGTGCTATGGCTCAGATCTGTTTTCATGTAGGATTCATTTTAGGAATATCACTATAATTAAGGATAACATCATTACATAGTAGCTGCCTCAAAATCTGAAACATAAATATAATAAAGAATTTGTAAGTGTGGAATCCGTGTTTGTGTATATGCACATGCATATTAATAGTCTTAAGATTTTAAAATACAGGAGAAACTATTTCTAATCATTTTTAGTTAAAGAACTAATGACATATTTCTCTTTTAGAGAAAACATTTAAAAAATCAGGATATTTCTTTCTAAAGAAAGAGTTAAAATTTTGATATCTTATGAAAAATAAATATTCTCAAAGTAAGTTAAGCCATATCCCCAGAATAACAGCTTTTGTTAAAAAAGAGCTAAGAAGGGTGGGCTGAACAATTCTACATATGCTTAGGATAGTCCCACTTCCACTTCAAGGGATACTAGCTAAGGATCCCCTCAATGTCCAGGGAACAAGGCCTGTTATGTTCCAGAGAAAATAATGCCTATTTAAAGACTTTATATTAAAATTGATATTTGCTCCTCAGAATTGTTTTCTATTTTACCAAATAGCATTCAAGAATTGATTTATAGTTATTTGGTACTTACTATAAAAAAATTTGTGCTTTATAAATAAACCACAGAAAACCTTTGCATGTACTTAAATTGATGTCTGAGTACCATCAACCGTTATAACTAAAATTATTATTAGATTTAAAGTCAAGAAAAATTGTGTTTTCCTTCTAGTGGAGAGACAAGGTGTAAGTACAATATGAAGCTCTTTAGAGACCTGGAAATTCTTAGATCATATCCTACTAGTAAAGCTTTGTTGGTTCAACTTGTAGAAACAGCCTATGTGATATAAGATTTGGTTCTTCTTTTTCTTCTTGGACGGTTGATTACATGCAGACATTATGGTCACATAGGATTCATTTTTAGGAATACCACTGTCATTAGGAATTATATCATAGCACAGTAGACATCTCAAAATCAGACACGTGAAAATAATACAGAACTACTTGCAAGTGTGTAATCCACACTTTCAGATGCTCATTCTAATATGCGCTTCTGAATAATGTTCACACTGACTGTTGCATGCTATATTTGGGATACTTCTAAGTGATGTATTATCAATTTATTACTGTTTCCTAGGCTATCTTGGCTCAACTGCAACTTGTTGCCCAACTGTTGTCTTCCTGGGTCCTGAGGACAAGTGGTGATAAGTGTGGAGAGGGGACCTAATATAGCCCCCCACCCCCGAAACGAGGTGGCAGGGGCCATTTGGGACCCAGCTGTTCAGCATGGATTCTTCTCTCATCCTTGAGCTCAGGTTCTGTGTCATTAGTTCAATCCCGCTAGGCAGTGACTTTGTAAGTCAAGTGCTTTTCTTTGTCTTTGCACCTTTTCCACACATTATTTGCAAATGGATCAGACATACAGAAATGAATTATGTGCACAGAGAAATGAATTACGTTCATAGGCTATTAGAACTTTAAAGTATCTTACCATCATATTTTCTCTTTGGGGTTATCTAAGACCAGAAATCATGAGGCAAAGAATTTGAAAAGAGAAGTGAAAAAGAAAAATTAAGAGTTTTGTCCTATCCCCTTTCCTGGTAAAGAAAAGCAGTAGAATGACAGGGCAAGTGGGATGCAGGTGAGGAAGTAGAAAAGAGGCTAACATTCCTGTAGGTAATCAGGGCACAGGATAAGTGTTCTTAGAGCCTAGAAAATGACAGAGTTGAGGGCTGGAGGCTGAGAGCTAATTCCTGAACAGGTACTCGCGACTTTATCAGAGAGTGTTATAAACTAGGCAGTATTTGGACGAGTGGAGGTAGGCTCTAGGAGGTCATCTGAGGAGCCAGGCTATTGGTGCATCCAGAAAGCCTTCTGCATTCTAAGGCGTTCCCATCACTGGTGCTGTTCATTGTGATGGGTCTCCATGAGCCCCATGCATCTGAGCTCCTCAAAGTTTGCTCTCAGAATTTGTGCCTTCAATCTTTGCCTTGGTTAGCTCATCCATAGCTGTCAGCACACTGGATATGTTACTCACATCCATCTCTCCAGCCCCACCTCTTTCTAGAAGCACTCATCCCAATTCTGAATGCTCAGTCACATGTCTCCATCCAGGTGACCCAAGTCACTTCCAACTGAACATTTTCCCCCCAAACCCCAAAGTATTTGTTTTCTTTTATAGACCAACACCTCATCTCGAAGTTGCTGTATCTTTTAATGATGTCTGTGATTTGGCAACTCAGGCTGAAAGTTGAGGAATAAGAATTATCTGAAAAAAAAAAAAAAGAATTATCTGTTACCTGCATTTTTGCCTTCTTTTATACTCAATAATCAATTCTGGTTAATTATTTTTCTCTGGCATATACTATATAATTTTTTATTTTCTCATTATCTTACTTGAAATCTGTGATAGCTCTCACCTTGAGCTATTCCTGACATATCTTGGTTCTCTACTTTACAAGACACACAGTCCAAAACAGCTTTCCCTTTGACCTTGGTTTGATTGTTCCATGATGTCCCTGCATCTGCTTCAACTCCTTGCTGGACATTCTAGGTACTCCATGAGCTGGACCTGCCTGATCTGCTTCCATATTTCCAGTACACCATCTTCCAACATACAGCCTTAGTGTTAGTTAATGAGCTGTTCACATTTTTTCTGAGGGCTTTCAGTTTCCTGCATTTGAGTTTTGGATTTTTCTCTGGAACATATTTCTCTGCTGTCTCCTATCTCTCTCTCTGTAAATTTCAGGTATACTTGAAATTCCTCTAAAAAGCCAATCCAGTATGATCTTTTCTCTTGGGAATTCCTAGGGCTCTTTCCTTATATCTTTTCTTATCATGTATTTATTTATTGTAGTGATTTGTTTCATGTCTTCACTGTAGATTATAAACTCCTTGAACATAGGGGTTTACTAATTTTAGTAATTCTCACACTAAAGTATACTGTCCTTCACCTTACCAAAGTTTTAAGGTAGTTCTCTCCCAAAAGAAATGTTTCCTTTTTTTGTTTTTAATCTAAGAGTGTGGGAAAGGAAACTTTTGAAGAAAGCTCAGGTAGTTTTTAGATTAGGCTGTATTTGGACCACATTTTTATTTGGTGTGCATATTTTCATAGTGAAGTTCATAATTATCGTTTTCACAGTCTTTCTAGGATCTCTAAGTTACTATTTTCATTGACTTTGATGTACCTATAGATAACTTATGTCAAAAGATAGGAAAGATAATAGACAATCTAAAGTATAATTATCTTGAAAAAAAAGTCATACAGGTTGATCTAATAGTCTTACAAATGTGTAACTATATATCTCTTGGCATAAATTAAAAGATTTTTAAATATTGGGCTAAAACTTTATAGTTGAGACTATTCATGAGAGAATTTCAGTGCTTCCAAAATTAGATATCTTGATTTGAAAAGATTAGATATCATTAAATTCTTGAGTTTTATTTCTTGTTTTAATACTGAAAATAAAAAGATCTTCTCTTAATTATTGAATAGCATTTGGGTTCTGGGGTTAATAATCCAAAGCCAAAAATCACTAGCCTCTTTGGAAGGTTAATCAATGAAAATGAGGTTTAATATGAAAGCTTTTTGCAATGTTCATTCAACATTTACACTCATGAATACTACAAAATACATTTACATACATAGTTTGATTTTCTGTGTCTGACATATGTTTTAAGTAAGATCAGAATTGATAAGAAGTGTTAGTTTCTAATAACTCCTACAGCCATTAATCTATCTCATGTTTATTGGCAAAGATGGAGTCATTTTTTATTC